GGCCCGGCCCGCCCCGCCGCGCCCCTCAGATGAGCCACTCCTTTTTGCTCTCGTCGATGGTCTCCGTGAAGTTGGGGTCGTTGTTCATGATGGCGGCGTCGGCGCTCTCAGCCGACTCGGCTCCCTTCGCCTCGTTGGTGTGGTAGGTGCCCTTGTGGCGGAACATGTAGCGGATCAGGAAGACCAGGGTGCAGAGAATGGTGAAAATGACCACGGCGATGACCCCTGGCGGAGACAGGACAGGCCTCGGGTTAGAGAAATCCTGCGTATCCCGGCACTTCCCCGCGGCTCCCGCCAACACCGCTCTCCCCCATGAAAACACAAAGCCCCCCAAACAACTACAGAAGTTAACAGGACTGAAAGGAGAGTTAGACCCATCACAATTATACCTGGAGATGTCAGCGCTCTTTTCTCAGTAACTGACAGGACAAAAAACCAGAAAATCACCAGGAATTGAGACCTAAAGAGCACTATTAACAAACGTGACCTAAGGAAATAATACTAACCCTACACATCTTTCTTAAAACAGAGGAGGAAATCCTACTCAGCTCATTTTATGAGGCCAGTGTTATCCTGACACGAAAGCCAGGAAAATATATTAGGAAAAAGTATCGAGCAATATTCCTCTTTTTTTTTTTACAAATCCCCACCCAAGGATATTGTTTCCATTGCTTTTTCAGAGAGAGAGTGGAAGGGGGAGAGAGAGAGAGAAACATTGATGTGAGAGAGACACATTGATCGGTTGCCTCCCACACCTGCCCCGGCCCTGGGCCGACCTGGGATCGAGCCCACAGCCGAGGCACGTGCCTTTGGCCAGAATCAAACCCGGGGCCCTTCTGTCTGAGGGCCTTCAGTCTAACCACTGAACAAAACCGGCTAATAAAATCTTAACAAATCAAGCCCAACAATGTGTGAAAAAACGTATTATGATAAAGTGGTGTTAATTCTAGAAATGCAAGATTGGTTTAACATTAACAAACTAAAGCAATGTAATTTAACACATTAGGCAAATAAAGGAGAAAAACCATATGATAATCTCAATAGATGCAGGAAAAGCATATGACAAACTTCAACACCCATTTATCATAAAGCTTCTCAGGAAACTGTCAATAGGAGGAAACCATCTCAGCCTGGTAAAGGGGGTCTATGAGAAACCTACAGCTCACATACTACTTAATGGTGAAAGATTAAATTCATTCCCCCTAAAATATGGAACAGAGCAAGAATGTCAGCTCTTTAACACTTCTATCCACAATTGTACTGGAGGTCCTAGCCAGTGCAATAAAACAAGAAAAATAAAAAGTGTACAGAACGGGAAGAAGTAAAAACTCTCTTTATCCTCAGGTGACATGACTGTCTATGTAGAAAATTCTACACAGGAATATAAAGAGAATTGCCAGAACTAACAGTAAATTTAGTAAGGCCACAAGATACAAAGTCAATTCACAAAAATCAATTGTATTTTTATATACGAGCAAGAAACACTTGGAAAATAGAAGTAATAAAATAATATCATTTATAATAGAACAAATGGGATAACGTTGTTCAAGACTGCACTGGAAACCATAAAACCTTGCCGAGAGAAATTAAAGACCTAAATAAATGATGGATATACCATATTTAGGGTCAGTGTTGTCAAGATGCAAACCCAATGAAAATCACAAGAGATCTATAAGCTGATTATAAATTTTATATGGCAATGCAAAGGGCTCAGAATAGCCAAAATAATTTTGGAAAAGGAAATAATTGGAGAACTTATACAGCTTATTTCAAGACTTACTATAAAGATACACCTGTAAAGTAAGTATGGTATTGGCTAAGAAAAGATACAGAGATTAAAAAAACCCCCACTCGAATACAGAGTCCAGAAAATAGACACACACAATATGGTTATTGATTTCTGCCAAAAAATTCCAAGGAAGTTAAATTTGGGAAAATATAGTCTTTTCAGCAAGTGGTCTTGGAATAAGTAGATATTCATTTGGAAAATAATGGCTTTGACCTTTATCTCATACAAACATTAACTTAAAGTGACTGTAAACTTAATAATAAAAACTAAAGCTATAAAACATAAAAAACATACTCTAAAATCTTCACAACCTTGGAGTAGGCAGATTTTTTTCAAGAGGATTTTTAAAAATTACAAACAATAAAAATATTAGAAAAATTGGACTTTATCAAAGTTAACATCTCCTGCTTTTCAAAAAATACCAGTAAGAAAATGAAAAGACAAGTCAGGGACTGGGAGAAAATATTCACAATACATATGTCTGACAATATTTGTATCCTGAATATAAAAAGAACTCTTACAAATCAATAGCAAGAAATCAAGCAATCCAACAACTTTTGATGGGGAATGATTTAGACCGATACTTCACAAAAGATTTACAAATGGCAATACACATATGAAAAGATGCTCAACAATACTAGTCATCAGATAATTGCACATTAAAACCACAATGAGATACCACTACTCATCCACTAGAGTGGCTAAAATGAAGAAAACTGACAACACCAAGTGTTGATGAGATTGTGGAACAACTCAACTTCTCGGATATTGATTGTGGGAATGTAAAATGGTCCAACTATCTTAGAAAACTATGTGGCATTTTCTTATAAAGTTAAATATCCACTTTCAATAACACCCAGCAATTGCATTCCTAGGACTTACCAAAGAGAAATGAAAATTTATGTTCACACAAGACTTGTACAAGAATATGCACAGAAGCTTTATTCAAAATAGCCCAAATCTGGAAACAAACCAAACATCTACTGACAGGTGAGTAGATAAAACAAATTATGGCACATTCTTAAAATGGAATACAAATGGGCCACTAAAATAAATAAACTATCGATCAATATATGCAACATTGAGTATCGATCTCAAAACTGTTATGTTGAACGAAAGAAGGAAGGCACAACCGATTATATTCTATGTGATTCCACTTATATGAAACTTTAGAAGGAGCAAAAGTAATCCATGTGAGAAAAAGCCACTCAGAGGCTGCCTTGGTTGGGAGTGGGGCAAAGGGAAGGACAGACTACAACGGGCATAAGAGAGCTTTTCATGGATAGAAATGTTCCTGTCTCTTCATTGTGGTGGTGGTTAGGGGTGTATGAGTGTCAAAAGTCAATGACCTGTTAAATAAGTTGATTTTTTTTTTTTAAAGACTATATTGATTCCAGAGAGAGGAAGGGAGAGGGAGAGAAAGAGAGAAACACCAATGATGAGAGAGTCATTGATCAGCTGCCTCCTGCTCGCCCCCGACTGGGGATGGAGCCCGCAACCAGGGCATGTGCCCTGACCAGGGATCAAACCGTGACCTCCTGGTTCATAGGTCGACACTCAACCACTGAGCCACGCTGGCCAGGCCATTATCATTCTTACTTTCACGAGCCTGCATCAGAAAGCAGCCAGGCTACATCACCACAGCTTATCCACACCCCCACTTCACAATCTGAAGCCACATTTAAATAGCAAAACGAGTCATAAAAATCTGGACAACTCGCTTTTCCCCTGGACTATGATTTTATTGAGAATGACAGCGCCCCCCAGGGGAGCCGCCACAGGAAAGCCTGTGCCACGGGTCGCCTACCTCCAATGATGGCCGAGTTTCTGTTCACTCCATTTCTGATAGCTTGGCCTTGTCCTGGGTTATACGGAAAATCAGCACTGGCTGTGGAGAGAGAAACGGAAGGTCAGGTGGGCAAGTGACAACCATAGACCCCAAGGAACGCGGTGCCTATCTTTTCACACAGCTCTTCGCGTCCCGTTTTCCCAAATGAGATGCCACTGCAGGTGGACCCGTCTTGCTGTCGTTTCCTGCGAGAATCACAGCAACGGCCACCTCCGCTCCTGCCGTGTCCCTGGCATGAGGCCCAGAGGCGCGCTGGGCCTCCTTTGGAGGGTATCAGAGAATCTCTAGCTGCCTGGGCTGCCCCCAGGCCCACCGACGTGAGTTTCTGGATGAGGGTGCTGTTCCTTAAGCTCGGCTGAAGCCTGCCTCCTGTCCACTTTCATCCGTCTCACCACGGGTGGCACTGGCTCTATTTACGGGGGAGCTTGTCAGGGCGTGCGGCATGGGTTTAAAAAGCATTCGCTTCTGTGGACTCTGAGGAACAGAACAGATCGACGAACAAGACAGGGCCACGGACATGGAAGCGTGGGACAGACAGACAGGTCTCAGAGGGAAGCGGGAGGAGATTAACCAGAGAACTTACAGGCATAAACGAACGGCCCACGGACACAGTGGACAGGCG